AACACATGAACCCTAAGTTAGAAGCCTTGTACCCTAATCATCTCTCTTTCACCCAAGTCGAAAGCCTTGCACCTTAAGCTGAAAGCCTTATACCCCATCCAGAAGCTTTGCACCCAAGTCATAACCCTTACAACTCAAGTCAGAAGCTTTGCACCAAAGCCAAACCTCTTGCACCCAAGTCATACCCTTTGCACCCTAAGCCATAACCCTTACACCTCAAACCAGAAGCCTTGCATCCAAACTAGAACCCTTGTACCCAAGTCAAAAGCCTTACACCTAAGCTAGAAGCCTTTTGCCCAAGCCAAACCCCTAGCACCCTAAATTAGAAGCCTTGCACTTTTAGCAAGAAGCCTTGCACTCAAGCCATACCCCTTACACCTTAAGCCAGAAGCATTACACTCAAGCCATACCCTTTACACCTTAAGCTAAAAGCTTTACACCCAAACCAAAACCCTTACATCTCAAGTTAAAATTCTTGCACCCTCTAGTTATTGAGTTTACATGTAATCCTAGATGATTTCATGTAATTGAGGGGTGTATATTTTTTTCAGTGACATTTTTCAATGACCCTTCACCTACCGATCTGAGCTCTAATAGGCATCGTCGCCTGTCAGAGGAGGGGCCTTAGCTCTAATAACCAGATTTTGTGCCTTTTGGAAAAAAATATTAATTAACATAGAGGGAAATTTTTATCATTTGTTTAATTACTTGATGAATTAGCCTTGGTCCTTTTAGTACATTTGGTCCCTGAGATCAATTTTGCTTCTAACTAAGTCATTTTCATCAATTTTCCTAAAATAAATATGTAATCTTACAAAACAAAATATTTAATTTATAATAAAGTGGATAGGTGGCATTTAATTACTGAAATGCCACTAATTATTGATAAACAATAAATTGTGGCATTTCATTTAAAAAATACCGCCTCTATGTATTTTCTAAAATTGTAAATAAAAAAATAATTTTTAAGCTGTGATATTGGATATAAGAAATGCCATCTCTCTACTTTAGCTTTAATATTAGTGGCGTATTGCTACAACATGCATGCTACTAAATCTCATTTTTGTAGCAGTGATTTTTCATATTGAAATAATTACTACTGCAGAAATAGAATTTAATAGCATGCATTTTGTAGTAATAAAAAATGAAATGCCACTAATATCAAAGCCAAAACAGATAAATGGTGTTTCTTATATCAAGTGCCACCACTTATATATTATTCTTTTTATTTACAATTTTAATAAATAATGAGGTGACACTTTTTAAATGAAATGCCACAGCTTCTTGTTAATAAACAATTAAGTAGCATTTTAGTAATAAAATGTCACCTCTCTAATTTATTGATTATTAAGTATTTTTTATTATATTATATAATTATTTTATCATAATTATTTAATTAGTATTAATAATAAATATATGTTTTTATTTAATAATTAAAATTAAAGAGCTTGTGTTTCTTGAGTGGCAAAACACCACCTCTATGTTTTTCCTACTAAATTAGTATTTTGTTTAGAGAGGTGGTGTTTTCAGAACTTGAAAACGTCATCTCCTTACTCTCTTAAAATGATTTATATTTTGTTTTATCATATTAAATAATTATTTTATAATAATTTATTTAATTAGTAATTATAATTAATATATAATATTATTTATAATTAAAAGTAGAGAGGTAGCATTTATTAAGTTTAGAAACATCACCTCTCTACTCCATTATTGATTTAGTATTATATTACAATTTATAATTTATAATTAATATACAATATTATTTAATAATTAAAAGTAGAGAGTTTATAAATGCTACTTCTCTACTTTGTTATTAATTTAGTATTTTATTTTATTTGATTAAATAATTATTTTATTAATTAGCATTATTTTTGAAATATATAATTATTAAATACTGTTTATTAGATATCATTTTAAAAAAATATTTAAATGAGAGGTGACGTTTTTATCTCTGTCTTCTAAATTTAATTTTTGAATAATTAATGTTATTTTTAGTGTATATAATTATTGATATAAAGTTGAGAATTAAAGGATACACGATACATGTGTCAAATGCTTCTATCAAACACCAAACAATACATGTGTCAAATGAGACGTTGCTTTTGAATGAGACAGGCGTGCATGATGGATAGATATTGGAGCTATATATTATGCATCAAATTAATGAATCTGTGATCTGAGTGTGTTCCCATTTATAGAGAAATCAGGAATATGCACTACTTTTTGTGACGTTTGACTTGAAAAGGACAGGAGCCCAACTATTGTTGGGACTGACAGCAAGAAAAATCGGTGGATATATGACATGGAAACGACATAAATGAGGTAGAAAGGCACTCTTATACAGATATCAGCTCTTAATTAATGGCTTCAACAGTAGCACCCACCTCTTCTTTCTGCAATTAATTAATCACTATACGGAAAACAACTCCTCTATTCGGTCAAAAGTGTCCAAACCACGCCACGCCCACAAAATAAAACCCTATGTTCCTTGTGTTTGCGTCCATGATAAATTGCAAACTCATCATGAAATTGAAAAATTAGAAATGCGAATCCTCGTATTAAAGGATATATTATTATGAAAATGAAGAGCTATAATAATAGAGTTATAATGTAATGAATTTTATTAAGTTATTATTTGAGGCCAATCCAGGGTCAAGAAATATAGGATAAAATGGGAAAAAGTAAAAGTTAAGAATTCAAACTCGTTTGATGTAAAAAATATAATAATAATTTGACCATTCAATTAGATTGTAGACCAGTACTTTATAGTTTATATAGTGTTTTACAAGCCATAATATTTTAAAATTAAATCAATTAATTAATCACTCATATGTTTAAAACACCAAGCAAATCATGTAACCCACCAAAACACTAACCATGCGGCCAATTTGCATGCTTTGGCTTCATACACACTTAATAGCTAGGTTAGTTAAGAAGTAGATAGATGTGGAAATAACATATTTTTTACCATACTAAAATTGTATGGATGATTCCTGTACCATTAATTAGTCTATTATTTCACTAATGCATCATTTTACAAAATAATTCATCATGTATCTTTCCAAACTTTATTAGTATGTTTTTTTTTTTTGGTGAAAAAAAAGTGTCCTTAATTTGAAGTTTGAATTACTTGCAAATATCTATTAAGGAAGTTTATTGTCAGGTTTTAAAAGCTTGAGGATATTACTGATAAGGAGGTTCTACACACAGATGGTATCTCTATACCAATCGAATTTAACTACTTTGATATTGGTTTTCATTGTTTTTCAATACAAAGGCCACGGAAAAATATCCAAATAAATGCTAGCTGGCTTCATGCAATTCATAGAAATAATCAGATAAAGAGAACATCTCTACACTCCCAAGGAGCGATACCGAGGGAGGGGGGGGGGGAATTCAACATCCAGATGGTGTTCCTGGTGAGCTAGTACAACGATTCACTTCCCTTGACATATGGTCAAAGGTGATAATCTAATCGTGCATAAGAAACTCACGCATTTCTCTGATCCAATGTCGAGCAAGGTGATTATGGGCTTACTTAGTACTGTTAATGGGATCCAAAGGCTTTCAGTAGCATATATTGTTGATGACAGCAATGTTACACTAGTTGTGATTCCAACTAAGTCTTAGGTCCCATTTGGTTATTAGAAATAAATAAATTAAAAAAATCAATACAAAATAAACTAAATCATCATTTCTCCTCGTAGTAAGCATAATAATATTCATTAATATATATTACAAATGTGAAAATCATCACACCGTCCAAAAATTATATGAATCATGATTCTCAATTTCATGAATTATATTACTCCTCTCCTTTATGAATTTGGTTCACTATTTCATTTGATCATCTCATTTTTACATTTATTTTTTCAATCAATTTCATTCTATTTTTTTCTAATAATCAAACGTAACCTTAGTCCTTCAAGAATTCTTGTAATCTTGGCCAAAGTAGGCTGATTACAGAAGTCAACCTCTAGTTGAAAATAAGTCATAAGAATATTATATTAATTTTTTAGAAAAAGATTTTGTATTAAGCATCATGAGGGAGCATATAATAATCGTTTTTCATGTTATTGAAATCACATATAAAGTTGATAAAAGAAGAATACATGATACATATATACTTTCTACAATTGTATATTTTTAGTCATAACTTTTATTATCAACACAAATAAAATCAATGATAGAAGCTTTTGCAATAACATTGTGACGACTTTGTCACCAATAAAAACATTCAGCAGTTACAAAGTCAAATTTTTTTTTTCCTTGGCAGTGATAGTTGTCAAATACTTTCATGAGACACCAAATAATACATATGAATTATAGTGATACCTTATGGGATGACGTCTCTTTTGAATTAGGCATGCATATGATAGACATATATCAGAGCAATATTAGGGGCATCAAGTTAAAGAATCTGCGATTTGATCTGAGTGTGTTCCCATGAATTAAATGAGTCATAAAATTTTAAGACATGAAATTTCGGTTATATTAGATTTTAAATCATTAAATCAATAATTGACCGATTCTTCCTCATTTTCAACCAAGTCTTAATACGTTTTCCTTTGACGGAAAAAGTATATATATATTCATTCACTGTAGTCAAAATATATACAAGCCATGAACAAAATGAAAGTAATAAACAATAATATTCTATTTCCTATTATCTCTCCTAATATCTCTCCCAGTATTGCGCTGTACATATCAGTAAATTATAACGTGATATAATCTGATCCCAAATGATCCGCGATTCCATCATTCCCCCTCAAGTTGGCGCATGAAGATCTGCAATGCCCAACTTAATTTTTTGTCCATACTTTGCATGGCTCAATCTCACTTGACTGCACCCTCTCTCGCACAAAGTAACAGTCCATCTCTACATGTTTAGCTCATTCATGGAAGACCGGATTCATCGCTATGTGCAACGCCGCCTGATTATCACAATAAAGGGGTGTAGGTCGCTTTTGTGGTGCTTGTAGTTCTCGCATCAGCCATCACAGCCATATGACTTCGCTCACTGTTGTTGCCATCGCCCTATACTCTGCGTCTACGGATGACCTTGCAACCATGCTCTGTTTCTTTGATTTCCACGAGACAGGGGATCCTCCTACCTTGATGAGATAGCCTGTGCACGATTGTCTGGTGTCAAGGCATCCAGCCCAGTCTGCATCACAGTATGCTTCAAGCTTCATAGGTCCCTTAGCTGTGAGTAATATACCCTGTCCTGGAGTACACTTGAGAAATCGTAGTACCCGCTCCACCGCTACCATGTGTGTGCGTCTTGGTGCCGCTACAAACTGGCTAAGCAAATTGATTGCGTACACTATGTCTAGATGTGTCACTGTCAAGTATTGAAGCTTCCCTAGCATCCTTTTATATCAAGTGGCATCTACATGTGGTTTATCATCTTTTGCATGCAACTTGCAATGTTGTTCTATAGGGAACCCACTCGGTTGACAATGCTCCATCTGTGCTTCCTTTAAAATATCCAACGTATACTTCCTTTGGCTTAAGAAGAACCCATGCGGGGATCTTGCTACTTCGATTCCCAGAAAATACTTCAGCTTACCCAAGTCTTTTATGCTAAATCTTTTGTCTAGATGCTTTTTGGTTTCTTGCATCTTGTTCACGTCATTTCCAACTAGCAATACATCATCAACATAGACAAGACAAGCTACATAAGATTTTGAGGTCTGAAAAACATACAAAGAGTGATCAACTCTGCTTTTCTTAAATCCTATCTCAGTCAACGCGTGCATGAGTTTTTGATGCCAGTTCTCGATGCTTGCCGTAAGCCATATAAGGACTTTTTGAGCTTGCACACTCGCGTCTCCCCCTCACAAGCGAACCCTTGAGGAATCCGCATATAAATTTCTTCATCAAGATCCGCATGAAGAAAAGCATTATTGACATCCAATTGATAAACAGCTTAGTCATGCTTGGCAGCGACCGTAAGGAGAGTGCGAACCGTAACAAGCTTTGCAACAAGCGCAAAAGTGGCATGAAAATCTTCTTCAATCTGAGTAAAACCACGTGCAACAAGACGATCTTTGTAGCCGGCTATCTCACAATTGGGCATGTATTTCATTTTATACACCCACTTCGAATTGATAACGTGCTTGCTTGGAGGTAAAAGCTCCAGACTCCGAGTTTTGTTTGCTTCCAATGCTGCAATTTCTCGTTTCATGGCATCACACCAATGAGCAAGTTGGTTGGCCTGATAAAAGGTTTTGGGCTCATCATTGGAAATGATGGCCGATAAGAAAGCTTTATGGGAGGTAGAAAACCTGTCATAAGAGATGTATTGAGATAAGGGGGTACCTGACCAAGTTGCATGATGGAGAGTCGGTGCATGAAGCGACAAGGGGATGCGTAATAGAAAGAGGCAGATCAATAGTATAGTCTTCAAGATGCTTAGGAGCAGAACGAGTCCGTGTACTGTGGCGCACATCAACAGCACTATCTGAACGAGGTGGCTGAGACTTTGAAGATTGAGTTGCATCTTGCACAGCAGGTGGTGTGGACTCCGAAACTGGAGTAGGAGGCTCATTGGTAGGAAGAGAAGTAGGAATAATATCATCGTCGTGTATCGGACTCTGAACTTGCTCTTGTGAAGTGTGAGGCACAGCACTGTTGGGTTGTGCAAAAGGAAATAAAAACTCCATGAAAATGACGTCTCGAGAAATGAAACATTCATGTGTCATGGGATCAAACAGTTTGTAACCTTTCTGACCATGACGATAGCCCACAAAAACACATGCTCTCCCCCTTTCGGCAAACTTATCAGATCGTCGTGTGGTTCGAGCATAGGCAAGGTAACCGAAAACCTTCATGTGGTCAAAACAGGGCTGCTTCCCATACAGCACTTCACAGGGACTCTTATTTTGTAGCACTCGTGAGGGTAGACAATTGATGGTATACACAGCAGTAAGAATGCACTCACCCCAAAGATCAAGTGGAATATTGGCATGAAATCTGAAGGCTCATGCCATCTCAAGAATGTGTCTATGCCTGCGCTCAACGACGAAATTCTGCTGCGGGGCATAAGTGCATGCTGTCTGAAGTAAATCCTATTATCCGCATAAAATTGCATTATAGACCCAGATTTGAATTCTGGTCCATTATCAGCCCGTACCTTCTTGACCTTTTAATTGAATTGAGTCTCAATCATCTTAATAAACATGGGTAAATAATAAGCAACATCAGACTTATTCCTCATCAAATAGACCCATGTGCCTCTACTTAAATCATCCACAATAGTTAAAAAATTGTGAGCACCAATCAGTGAGGCTACCTTGTAACCACCCCAAATATCACAGTGTATTAACTCAAAACAAGAATTTGATTTTATTGAACTGGTTCCAAAAGGCAAACGAGTTTGTTCGGCACGTATACAGGAATCACAATGCATATTGTCTTTATTTGCAATAAAATTAAGACATAATGAAGCTTTAATTTCTCAACAGGAGCATGACCCAGTCAAAAATGCCATAAATCTCAATCTTTGTTAGCTTGGACACTCATTGCAATAGTACCCCTTTGCTGTCCCAAGCTTGGGCATCGGCTTCATGCTCAAAATGTGTATCTTAATTGTTGCATGGCTATCTTCTAAGCCCATAAGAAAGTCATAAAGGTGTTCCCTTTCTTTCATTTCTGTCAACTGTTTCTGCTTGTTGCATTTATAGCCTCCATATGAGCATTTCGGCCACGGCATAATAGAATCCAACTCATCCCAGAAGCCTTTTGGCTCGGTGAAATAAGTCGGTACAGATTGTTTCTCTTGCCTCGTCATCGTAATGGCCCTTCTCAACTCATAAGAATGTGGTGCACTACCTTTTATCTTTCCTCAAGGTCGATCTATATTTCTCGTGCTGTTTTTGCATAACGGACACTGCTTTGGATCTCCTTGTCTATTGCGCTTTTTAGCCATCCTTTCACCATGGCATTGCAATGCATCCAATGGTTCAAGTTTTGTGAGTCCACTGTCGGCATCGGAATTGTTTCATCGACAAAGCCAATCTTGTTCTTGGCAAATAGAGCGTTACTCATGTTGTTCACCCATTCACCATAGTTGTTTTCATGGAGGACCTCTCCAACATATACTTGTCCTAGATTGTCGGATGCATGAATGTAATATGGTGACATTACATCCACGATTCTAGCCTGAACCTCCTTCTCGATATTCTGATCGTCCTTCGTCGTCTCTGCGGCTCAGCAACCTAAGCTTTGTGTTGATGAAGTGGGGACCGATGCTCTGATACCATGAGAGATTTTGAGGGAAAAAGTATGCATATTCATTCACTGTAGTCGAAATATATACAAGCCATGCACTATCAGTATCACGTACACAAAGTGAAAGTAATAAATAATAATATTTTATTTCCTATTATCTCTCTTAATATCTCTCCTAGTATTGCGCTGCACATATCAGTAAGTTATAACGTGATATAATCTGATCCCAAATGATCCGTGATTCCATCACTCAAGCTATAGCTTCACCACTTTGAACCACTCAACCATTAGTGTCCAATCTTATCCAACCTTCATGATTGATGGATTATTCCATTTAGTGGGAATATCCTTGCACTAAATCTTTGATTCTCAGTTTTTGTATGGGTAGTGTATTTGACATTACCTAAATTTCTGCTTGCTAGGCTTATTTCGATTCTTTCTTTATCAATTTGGGAGAAAAAGTCTCTTTATTGGTAGTATGCTTCACAATGATTTCATATTTCTTTGGGTATCAGACCTTTGCTACCAGTATTAATGACTGAGTGAGTGTTTTACTTTCATGCCTGACACTACTAGTATTTGTGTCTCTCTACCAATATGACTTGTAGTGCTCACTTCCCCAAGGTTATTCGTTTCATAATTAAAGCCACTATTGGTATTGTACCTTTACTACCAATATTATCCATTCATTTCTAGTATTGATTAAGTTTTAAGCTAACATCTTATATGATTATCATTATCGATAGTGTTTTAACAATGTTGATACTACTATCATATATCTACTTGTATTCTAGTGACACTACTCATATTGTTTTCATTATTCATAGTGTGACAATTAATACTGTGTATCTTCAACCAGTACTAAAGGGACATTATGAGACTCTGTTTTTTTATTCATTTCAAAAAGCTTCGTTTCAAAGATTTAATCAATCCTTTCCATTCTAGTAAGTTGGGTTAGTTTTTTCTTTCATCATGAATCCTCCTAAACCCAAATTTTTGTAGTTTTAAGCATTCATTAGATTAAAATTTTTTTCTCTCTCGTATTGCATTTGGGTCTACCAATATTCGTTTACCTTCCTTTTTGTTAGAACCTTAAATGCATATAGCTGTTTATTTTCTTACTTGCTGTAAGTGTGAACCTCCACCAAGAAGCACTATCCAAACACCATACTATTCAAAGAAGCTCATACAAAAGAAGGAGAAGAGTCTAACAACTTAAATGTGTCTAATGTAACATCTTGAATTTTTAATTTGAGATTTAATTAAAATAAATGAGGGTAAATTAGTAAATCAATGAAATAATTAAGTTTATTGAGGTTCCAGGTTATTGATGTAGCTAATGAATCATTTAGGCAACTTCTGGATTCGGCTAAAATGGTTATTAGGCTAGTTGGACCTTAAGAGAAGGCCCAATTCATTATGGCCTAGACAAGACCATTTGCCACTGCAAATGGACATAATTTTAAATACCTCATATTAGTTCAATATAAGAGAGAAGGGAGAAGGGAGAATTAAAAAAATAATGAACGAGCTGAGATTTAAGTCTGCTAGGGTTTTCTTGAATCATCAATTGTAGGAGATTCAAGCTTGGAAACACTAAGGTAAACCCTTCCCTTCCCTCTCTTCCTCTACCCATATTTCATTGTTGGTTTTTTTTTTTGGATGATAATTTCACCTCTGTGGATATTTTGGTCAAACCTTTGCAGTTTGTTTCAGTTATTGGGACTTAGTTTAAGTTTCTATGCTTATAGTTTATGAGTTTATGTTGAATTATAACTGTGCCCTAAGGTTTTGACAAACCCTAGCCTTAAATTTGCATATTGGGAGTAATGTGGGTTCTAAATTAGTGTTATTTAGCTTCATAGAAGCTAAATGGAGTAAATGAAATGTTGTAAGGGTGTTGGTCTAGCAAATGATAAAGGTTAGGGGTTGTGGGTAGCTTGTTTAGGCTAAGAAATGCTTATGTTAGGACTAATAATTAATGATTAGCATTTAGCCTTATAGATTATGGTTTCTCAAGGTTCGTTTGAGGTTAAGGAGACTTGAGGAAATATTGAGTTCCATGGGTAAACCTTTTCGGTAATAAAAAGGTTGAGGTAACTAGATAATTTACCCTACTTATTGACTTGTTAGACCA